GGTGCTATTATTATCCCCATTTTACAGATGAGGAAACTGAGGCAAAGAGAAATTAAGTGATTAGCCCAGGCTCATACAGCTAGTAAGTTTCTAAGACCAGATTTGAACTCCAGGCCTGGCACTTGATCCATTATACCACCCAGCTGTCCTGAAATACTAAGCTGCTCCAGAAATACTAAGACCCTAGGGTACGACCACTATCTATTTCTAGTCTATCTCTGATATACCTCAGAAAGAATGTATGATGCAGTGATGTACTGGTAGATGTTTAACAACCAGCTCTCTGAAAAAAAAAAGTGTTCATGAAACAATTTTAAGTTTAACCTGAATTATTAATATTTTCTCCAACATTAAGTCTAAATGATCAACAAAACAATAAACCAAGCCATGATTTGTACCATTTCCAAGGTGTGAAATCTCACACTGAAAATTTAACAATTATCTCAGGATCTGGTTTGAATGCACTTCAGCACATCCCTGAGTGTATCCCATTGGGTATATCATGAAGAATACAGTTCAGTAGGGATGTCTCTGGCTACTACCTCACTCCAGTTTTCTTTTAATTTCTTTCTCCTCAGAGCAAGAAGGAAATATATGCTCTACACCTGCTGGAGATTAATGCGAAGGTGAGGTTAATGGCCCTTAGCTGTACTTTATCCTCATCAACTTTTACCAACTGCACATCAATCTGAAGGAAATATCCCAACCGTGATTGTTTTTATTTCAATCAATACCCATATGGTCATTCAACCCATGAGTAGGGATCAACATAGTAAAAAGCCATGACTGCATGGTTAAAAGCAAACAGATCATTCTACCTTCCAGTCTTTTTATGCATAAAAAAAAAATTCCCTTTTCCAGGTGGTTAAAAAAAAAAGAAAACTTGGCCCCATGCCTAGCAACTCACCTAGACATTCTGGTATGAGGCAATAAAATTCCACTTGTCATGTGCTCTTGCTTAATTACTGTGATCAACTTTCAGAATTTTTGTAAACTCAACACACTGTATAATGAGGTTAATAAAACTGGTGGCCTCCTTTGCCATGTTTCTATAAAAATGTCAAACACATTATGAGCTCAGATTTAATCATCTTTTCCTTTATCTTGTAAATGGTGCCTAATGAACATATCTACTTTCCAGAGTTGGTTTTACTTAGTCAGCTTTGGATTTGTAATTCTTCAGGATGTGATTAAAGTCCATATATTTGTTGTTTCTGACATTTCTGTATTGAATAAATTCTTCATTGGATATTTAGCTGTTACCTGACATTGTCCATCTAGATACCCAATAGAGTTTACATACACATGGTTAAGCCCGAGGCAGAGCCCAAGGCTCTGTCTTACCCTGGGGCCTTTGGGCAAGTCACTGGGCCATGTTTGAGCATTTCAGTTTTCTCATCTATGGAAATGTCCTTCCAATTATTTTATAATCTCTTGTCAAGGAGACTTCATTATTATTTTGTTTGGACCAGATCTATGATTTCATAGTTGGAGAGAATCCTAGGTAAGGAAACTCTCTCTCTACAACACATGCTCTGCTTTGTATAGTCTTGGAGAGATGCCTGGGGTACTAAAAGACTAAAGACTTACCCAAAGTCACCAAGCTAAAAAATGTGAGGCAGGACTTTCTGCCTCAGAGAGCAGTACTCCATTCACTAAACCAGGCTGGGTCTTGCATTACTATTAATATTGTCCTTTTCACCTTTTTCAAGGTAATGCATATAGGAACAGTCCTGGCAAGTTATTATCCTGCTATTATTATTTTATATTTAATATTCTGCTTACTATTAAACACAAGGATAAAATCACTGCCTTTTACAGTTGAAAAAAAAAAGGTGAAATGACTTAAAAAGTTCTAGGACGTGACTTCATCTCCTGTAGGTTCACTGAAAGCGTCCTTGGTATATCTTACATAGGATGACAGATTTAGAGTTGGAAGGGACCTTAGAGGTCATGGAGTAAAATCCATTCATTTTTAAAATGGAGAAACTGAGGCATAGAGGCATTAAGTGATTTGCTTAGAGTCACCTAGCTAGTAAGTGTCTGAGGCAGGTTTTAAACAGGTCTTTCTGATTCAAAGGGCAATGCTCATTGCATTATACTATACTGCCTCAAATTTAATAACAGATGGAATGATGGGGATAATGAGTGCCTTATCCCCTTCTCACATGATTTTTATTTCTGCTAAGTCTCTAAATTTTAAAAAATTTTTCATTCTACTTATCTGGGGTATTATGAGTACTTGATATGGCAGCATCTATTAAAAATGTTCTCGTGGTTTTTTTGGATCAATGTTATTATGTCCGCATAATTGTGGGCAACATCTGGCCTGTGATGATGCTATGGTCCTAATACAGTTTGTTAATTGAGTTCTCAAGAATATTTTGAGCCTTTATTATAGGATGGGGATTTGTCTTCTATCAGTCCTTGAAAGTTATCAGATTTCTGGTGCACAATTCTAGTGACCAAGGCATTTCTTGGTAGATATTTTCTGCCTGATACATCATAGAGTTTCTAACATTGTATTGAATAATCTCCATTGATCACTTTAGTTATGGCTCCTTAAGAATAACTTTTCTGGTTTATGATAAAATAAGAAACAAAGAGGATTGCAGGAAGTAAAATAGATAATTTTGATTGCATGAAATTAAAGGTTTTATACAAACAAAACTAATGTAGCCAAAATTAGAAGGAAAACAGGAAGCAGAGGGGGGGAATTTTTACAGCAAGTTTCTCTGATAAAGGCCTCACTTCTCAAATATATTAGGGAACTGAGCCAAATTTATAAAAATAAGAGCCATTCCCCAGCTGACAAATGGTCAAAGGATATGAACAGGCAGTTTGCAGAAGAAGAAATCAAAGCTATTGGGGCAGCTAGGTGGCACAGTAGATACAGCACCAGCCCTAGATTCATAAGGACTCAAGTTCAAATCTGGCCTCAGACACATAACACTTACTAGCTGTGTGACCCTGGGCAAGTCACTTAACCCCCATTGCCCAACCCAAAAAATATCAAAGCTATCAATAGTCACATGAAAAAATGCTCTCAATCATTACTGAATAGAAAAATGCAAGTTAAAACAGCTCTGAGATACCACCTCACCCATCAGATTGGCTAACATAACAGAAAAGAAAAATGACAAGCGCTAGAGTGGATGTGGAAAATTGGGACACTAATGCATTGTTGGTGGGGTTCTGAACTAGTCTGACCATTCTTAAAAACAATTTGGAATTATGTCCAAAGAGTTATAAAACTATGCATACCTTTTGAACCAGCAATACCACTACTAGGTTTGTATTCCAAAGAAATCAAAGAAAAGGGAAAAGGACCTATTTATACAAAAATATTCACAGCAGCTCTTTCTGTGGTGGCAAAGAATTGGAAATCGAGGGGATACCCATCAAATGAGGAATGCCTGAACAAGTTGTGGTATATGATCGTAAAGAAATACTACTGTGCTATAAGAAATGACAAGCAAGATGGTTTCAGAAAAACCTGGCATGACTAACATGAACTCATGCAAAGTGAAGTGAGCAGATCCAGGAGAACATTACACACTTATACAACAATATTGTAATGATGATCAACCGTGAAAGATTTAGCTGTTCTTATCAAGACAATAATGAGACAATTCCAAAGGACTCATAGTGAAAAATGCAAATCTATCTCCAGAGAGAGAACTGATGAACTCTGAATGCAAATTGAACCATATTTTTGAAACTTTATTTTATTGTTTTATTTTCTTTGTTTTCTTTGTTACATGGCTAATATGGAAATATATTTTGCATGACTTCATGTGTTTAATTGATATAAAATTGCTTGCTTTCTCAAGGAGTGGGAAGAGGTAGGAAAGAGGGAGAGAATTTGAAATTCAAACTTTTAAAAAAACACAATTGTTAAACATATTTACATGTAATTGGGAAATATTTAATGAAATAATAATAATAATAAACTTCTGCTTTGTCTAGTGGCAATGACCTGGTACTGAATTGCTACCATAAACCCTTCTATTTCCATGAAACAGAATCATGAACAGAATTTCATTACTCAGCCATTTGTTTGATACTTCTTTGTCAACAAATTGTTGGCTGAGTTCATGAGGATGTTGCCCATGGAGGGCCTTTTGATTTCATTTTTAGATCTTAGCCATTGCTTAAACTTTATTCAGAGGTAAACTACTTTTGCTTATGTTGGTCAGATCCAACCTGACCTGATATTATCCCTTGTGATCATTCACTGGAATGATGTCTGCTTGTTTCAAAAGTGTTTATTCAGGTTTTTGACTTGCTTACAGTGTGTTCTGAGGATGTCTATCAATCTCCTTCCTCCTTTTCGATGGAGAGGTGTTTATCTTTCTATAATAGTGATGGGCCTTGTGTTTGTCAATAGTGTACAGTTGTCATTGCTATTATTATTAGTTCAAGAACAGTTTTTTTCTATAAAAGGGGTATTTTAATCACATGTGACCTGTTTACAAGAATACAGAAGAAACAGCAGTAGTTTAATTATGTTAGATAAGCAGAATAGATAAGTTCAATGTGGTGAACTGAGAACAAAATCTCATGTTTGTTTATTATGCCAGTCAGTCACAGAAGCACACAAAGATGATCCTTAGGTTTTTTCAGGATGTACAGACACAATGTTCCCAAACAGTATCAAATTCCTCTTATTGCTTGACTTGTTAAAAAAAAAATGCAGAGAAACTAAAAACAAAAGAAGCAATTCTGAAGGTCAACAAAGAAAATGAGGGAAGAAGAGGGAGCTTCAAGAAGACAATTAAGGGCTTGCTGCCTCTAGAGAGAATCATTACTGACTATTAAGAGTAGCATAGCTACCAGGAAGAGAGATGACAGTCACATTATATTTTGCCTCAGCAGACTTCACCTAGAGTATTATTCAATTATTCAGTTCTGGGTACCACAGTTTAAGAAGGAGTTATCCTATTCAACAAATTCTGAATCCTTGGTAGCAAGTGGCACAGTAGATAGAGTGCTGGGCTTCGAGTCAGGAAGAATAAAGGTCAAATTCTAGCTTGGGCATCACTTCGCTATATGTCTCTGGACAAGTCACTCAGCCTCAGGTTACATCTGTAAAATGAGGAAGTCGAACTTAATGGCCTCAAAAGTTCCTTCCAGGCCAAATTTATAATTGTACCATTGTCTTTCTCACATTTTTCTGTCTTTTCTGCGAGAATAATATGAGATACCATACCAATTGTTTTGCTGAAATTTTGGTAATCTGTATTTATAACATTCCCCTGATCATACTTTGGGGCCCCCTCCCCAAAGGAGATCAGTTCAATCTGATTTGATCTGTTCTTAATGAAGCCAAGCCCTCTGTGATCATGGCTTCCTTTTCTAGATGTCCGTTGGCCATTCTTAAATAATCACTTCTAGAATATTGATAGGAAATAAAGTCAAGCTCACTGGCCTCTAGTTTGAAGATTCTGTTATTCTCTTCTCCTTCCCCTCCCTTTGAAAAAAATTTGGATATTTGCCTTTTTCCAGTCTTGAGGCACCTCTCCCAATCTCTATGATGTTCAAATATCAACTGATGGAGCAACTACACCTATTGGTTCTTTCCATAACCAAGGATATAGTCCATCTGGACCCAAAGACATAAATTCTCCAGGAGGCAGCCAATGTTCTTATCCTACCTTCCTACTTACCTTGGGTGTTAATTCCTTATTATGCATTGTTGTTCTGTCTTTTCCAGTGCAAAGGTCATTTTGATTGCTGGAAAAAACAGAGGCAAAAAAAGAATTGAGCCACATTGTCTTCTCTCTGTTGCCCCGAGAAGTAGCTCTATTCCTTCTCTGATCTTCTTTTTCCCATATAATACACCCCCCCCACACACAACACACAACCCTTTTCTTATCCTTAGGTCCTCTGGTCAGCCTCAACTCATTCTCAGTTTTAGCATTTCTGACATTTTTCTTACAGAACCATGCCATGCTTTTGTATTCATCCTGTTGCTAGCCATGTCTTTCATTTTTTGTAGATATTTTTAAAAAATCTAACTTGTTTGGTAAGTTACTTGTATATCCACATGAATATTTTCAGACCACTTTCATATTTTTCTTCCTTCTAGAAACAGTTTCATTTTATGTCCCAAGAATTTCGTTCTTGAAGTTTCTCCTATCCTCTCCTAGGCTGTCTTCCCCCAGAGAATTTTAGGCCATAGATTTCTACTAACCCTTCCTCTGAACTCCCTAAAAAACTGCAATGCCGTAATCTCAGGCACATATCAGACCTCACCTGGATTCCTCTCCTCTGTCACAAAACTCCAAAAGGGCGTGGTTACTTCTACTCCACAGCCTCTCATCTTTTCTATCCTAATAACCAGTTCCCCTATGTTAGTGAGAATCAGACCCAGAATGCCATTGTCCATTGTTGATTCATTCACCTTTGGAAGGTGTTCCCTAAATAATATATTTTGAAAGTACACATCTTTTTCTTTGACTGAAGAACTTTTAGAGTGCTACTTTATTCAATGGCAGACAGAAGAATGGGATGAGTATAATTCAGAGAAGAAATTAATCAGAGTTGAAAAAGCTCATGTTGCTGACAGCTCTTGTCCATCTGTGATCACTACCCAATCTTCCTGTCTTCTCTGACTTGGACGACTACTGGTAACCCCACCAGGTTGGCAGAGCTGTGGGCTATATACTCTGACTCTATTTCCTAAAACTCTGAAGAATGAACTCGGATAAGCGGGTAAGCCTGCTTACTCAGCAGCTGGGTCTTTGGCTATAATGGTAAGCAATTGAATTTGGCAAAGATTTTAATCCTTGACTGGTGTTTCATCAATTAATGATTCTGGAACTAATGTTCCTCTCTTGGAGTCAGTTCCCCTCTTGATTATGTGGAATGACATTCGTAAATTCTTTGTGGCCTCAGACAATGCTGTCTAGAACATCCCTGTGTCATTGCAGAGATCTGGTTTCACTGCACTGTCTTATTTTTCTTCATCTCTTCAGTTTTTATATTTTACATGAAATATGGCACATTTCATGCCATCATTTCTGAACACATCCTTTCCCCTATCCAATGAGCCATCCCCTGCAACAAAAATTTTAAAAGAAAGGAAAAAGAAAGTAGGTCAGCCAAATCAAACAACACAGCAGCTATGTCGGACAATGTATGCAATATTCATGTCCATAGCCCCATCCACCTCTGTAAAAAGAGAATCAATCAAATGCTGAATCAACAAGCATTTATTAAGTGCCTACTGTGTGCTAGGCACAATGTGAGGTGCCAGAGATGCAAATACAAAGAATGAAGCAATCCCTATACTTAACAACAGCAGCAGCTAATACTTATATAACACCTACTTCATGCTAAGCACTTTATGATTATTATCTCATTTGATCTTCAAAACAACCATGGGAGATAGATGCTATTATTATTTCCATTTTACAGATAAGGAAACTGAGGCAGACAGTGCTTAAGTAACTTAACCTCACTAGCCTCCAAAAGAAAAATGAAGATTATGTGACTTTTCCAGGGACACATGGCTAGTATGCATCAGAAAGGCAAGATTTGAACTCAACTCTTCCAGAATGTAAAACCAGCTTTTTATTTTTTAATTTTTATTATTATTTCTTATCATATTATTGTTATTTATTGTATATATTATTCATTCATTTATTTACTTATTTATTATTTTCTTTAGCTGCCTCCCAACCCAGATTGTTTCTAGTTTCATGGAAGCTTTATAGGGCCATGGTACTGATGCACAGCTCACCCTTTCCCCCTTTCCAAAGCTGCCTATTAGCCACACATCCCATGCTGTCTGGCATGGACCCACCATCTCTGGGCTGGACTGTCACTTCCACTTGTTTAGACTTTTTGGTGATGAATACCTGTTCAGCTCCTAGTTCTTCCTCGAAGATGGTTTCCAAAGACTGACTAGCTCATCTTTGAACAACAGGAGGCCTACTGGAAAAAGGACTAGTTTTAGTATACAGGACCTGCATTTGAATTATCTGACATTCCTTCACTATGTGACTCGAGACAAGACATTTCATCAGAATGGGTCTCAGTTTCCTCGTCTGTGAGCTGATGAAAATTGGACTGGAAAACTTCCAGGGTCTCTTCCAGCTCTAAATCTATGATCCTAGGATCCCACCTCCTTTTCCTACTGTTCCCTCCCAGCACACCCAAAAAATCCCCCCAAAATAAAAAACAAAATTCTCTTTCTAGTTGAGCAGGATGCAGGTTCTTTAAGAGAGCAAAGAAAAGATTGGTGGTATCAGTCCGTTTTTCCTCTTCCTTATCTAGCTAAGAGCGTGGCTGTTTATTGTTCTACTGCAGCGAAATGTCTTTTTTTGTTTATGTGTCCTGGGAAGCAGGCTTAAGGATCATATTACAAATCCGACTATAAATAAATAAAGTCAAGATTGGAGCTTTTTGAGGTCAGTCAAAACCTCCTGCCTCTTTTTCTCAAGGGCCAGAATGTTAGTTTTAGTGTCCCTAACTCATGTCCTTTTTAGGACAAGAAGGATCCAAGCTAGATTCATCCTGTCATATTTTAATTGCATTTATCTTCACTTTTTCCCCCTGGGCTGCTGTTGTTTCATGTTTCAGGGCCCTATTGAATAGCTCCTTCCCTTCCATCTTCATTTGCGCCAAGGGAATTATAAGTCAGTGGCAAAGGGGGAAGCTTTGAGAGAATCTACAACTTGTAAAGTGATTTGGGATTCTTTGAGAATCAAGATGTTATGCTGTGAAATGTCAGCTGGACCTTGCAGGCCAAGAAAGCCTTTTCAAGTGGGAGGTTTCAAGTCCCGTGCCTCATAGGTTTCATTTTTAAATTTGTTGTCATTGTTCAGTCATTTCGGTCGTGACCAACTCTTCGTGATTCCACTTGGGGTTTTCTTGGCAAAGATACTGCAGTGGTTTGCCATTTCCTTCTCCTAGCTCATTTTACAGATGAGGAAACTGAGGCAAAAAAAGTTAAATGCCTTGCCTAGAGTTACACAGCTAATAAATGTCTGAGGCCAGATTTGAACTCAGGAAGATGAGTTTTCCTGACTCCAGGGCGCTATCCAGTGTGCCATCTAGCTGCCCCTCATTTTTAAATAGTTATTTTTAAAGTCATGGATGATAGATACTGCAGATCAGAGATTTGGCTGATTCATTCTCAGAGGCACTAAGGCACAAGTGTTAGGGTCAGCACTAAGTTCATGAAACAGAGCCACATGCATGAAACAGAGCCACGTGGACCTCAAACCAACAAAAACTCTGATAGAGTCACTGGTATGAGGGGCCATACACTATCGGGTGTGAGGGGGGATGGGAGGCTGGCCTCTAACGTCCCTTCCAGCTCTAAATCTACAACCTTTATGGTAGCTAACTTCCTAGAGTTCTAAGTTTTCCCTTTTTTAAAAAATACATTTATACTCTAAAATAGATGATCCAGCACTTGGTATCTATCTAATTTCATGTGTATAGGCCTTGTTTCCCCCCAAAAATCTTCAAGGGCAGGGATTGTGTCTTAGCTTCTCTTTTATACTCCCAAATTGCTTAGCACAGTTCTGGGGCTTCCTCCCAGAGCCAGCATAACTCTCATCCCTTCTGAGGTCTTTCTATAAGAATAGTTTCCTCTTGGGCATTGTAATTTCTTTACTAAAAAAAGACAAAATAGGGTAGTGAATAGATAGCTGTCCTGGGGTTGAGATGACCTGAGTTCAAATTCTGAACACTGGCAGCTGCTCTGCAACGTGCTATGTTAAATATCTGTCTATAGCCCTAAGTGGTTAGGTGACTTGCCTAGCATCACACAACCTACATGTGTCGGAGTCAGGACTTGAACTCATGTCTTTTTGATTCAGGCTCTCTCTGTAAACACTATGCTACATTCATTCCTAGCTTAGACAGAGTAGATTAAAAAAAAATTGTTTAATTGAAACAAATTGAATTTTGTTTTTCACTTACTCACTTAGCATCTTTGTATTTATTGCTTTAGGATTTTATTGCTTGTATACTGTAATGTGCTTTTCACTGATAGGTTTCTGTATATAGGTCTCGTCTTCCTAACTAAAGCGTACAAGAGAATTGCTTCTGATATTTCTTCAGTTAGTCACGTGGCATAGTATAGTACTATGCAAATAGAAGACTCTCAAAAATGAATACTTGCTGATTCATTGACAATAGGCACTCAATACATGGTGACTTGATTAATGGAAGACCAAGGAAAAATTCTAAACAAATAATTTGTGCATTTCCTATGGTTTTCATTTTCCAAATTCACCTTTTCTCTGAATACTAGACTTACAAGGGAAGGCATGGGGACATTATTGCACGTCCCCCCAACTTTCATAGAAGGATGGTCACTGTAAGTAAGCAGTGAGGAACAGGAAGAAACTATCTTGGTAATGGATCCATTTAATATTTATAGAGCAATATGTAGATGTGGTCTAAAAACAAATGTTTACCTTTTTTAAACTCATCCTACTCAGTGCTCTAATATAATATGATATGATGATATGATATGATATGATACAAAATAATTTCCTTAAAGGAAAAATTTGCTGTCATCTCTGTCTCATTAGTTGTTGCAGTGCCCCCCCCTTCAATAAAATGCTTTTATAATAATTACTCAGATTTCAGTGGCTATCATAGGCTGGAGGGAACCTAAAAAAATCATCTAGGTCAATACCTTTATTTGACAGATGAGGAAACTAAAATCCAGAGAGATGATCAATCAAACAAGGAGTAAGTAGAAAGGGTGTGATTCAGACCTGGGTCTGAAGGCAAATCCTGGGCTCTTTCTAGCACAGCAACATCCTCATGTGGGGCTTTACACAATCTTCTTCCTGTGTCATCTCACTGGATCCTTATAACAATCCTATTAGGTGGTAGTCCAACGATTATAATCCCTATTTCACATGCGGGTGAACTGAGATACAACAGATAGCATGATTTAACAGGAAGAATGCTTCACCTGGAGTCAAGAAAGCCAAGCTAGGTTTGAAATGTTACCTTTAACACGTAGTTCTGTGCTATCCATAAATTGAAGCTAATAAAACCCACAGTGCTCATCTGAGTCCAGAGCTGTTGTGAGGAACAAATGAGATAATGCATAAAAGGGACTTTGCAAACATTAAAGTACTAAAATGTTGGTTTGGAAAAATGACTATGGGCTTGTTGTGTTTAATTGAGTGATCTGCCCAAACTAATTGCCCAGTTAGCAAGCTGTTGTGGCAGGACTTCTCCAGGCTCTAGAGCTGATATGTCACAAAAGCTTTCCTCTCTTTTTCAGGTCTACTAATTCAATTCTCAAGGGACAGATGAAATAATGAACTATTCATTCATTCAGCAAACAATTATTTAATGCCTATGATTTGTGATGTATAATCAATGCACATGTTAATTGTTCCCCTTCCCTAATTCCACATTTGACTTGAGAGAGGTAAAAATCTTTAAAAGGTAAAATGTATTATGAAAACGTAGTCCAAATATTTTGATGAATCTCTCTCTCTCTCTCTTTTTTTTTTGGTTTGTTTTGTTTTTGGCGAGGCAATTGGGGTTAAGTGACTTGCCCAGGGTCACACAGCTAGTAAGTATCAAATGTCTGGTCTGAGACTGGATTTGAACTCAGGTTCTCCTGACTCCAGGGCTGGTGCTCTATCCATTGCACCACCTAGGTGCTCCAGATGAATCTCTCATGAAACCCATCCATGACTTCTTATCCTAGGGGAACCCTGTCCATGTTCCTCTTAGGGGATCCACCCAATCCTTTAGAGATATTCCTTGATATCTCTTGATATTTTTTGGATATCAATGGAGAGTCCACAAGTTACCCCTGACTTAGGGGGAGAAGGGGACAAGAGAACAGGGGGATGATAGAGAGGAGGGCAGATTGGGAAAGGGGGTAATCAGAAGTAAATACTTCTGAGGAGGGACAGGGTCAAAAGAAAGAATAGAATAAATGGGAGGGCAGGATAGGATTAAGGGAAATAGAATTAGTTTTTCACAACATGTCTACTAAGGAAGTGTTTTGCATAACTGCACACGTACAACCTATACTGAGTTGCTTGCCTTTTCAATGAGGGTGGGTGGGGAGGGAAGAAGGCAGAAAATTTGAAACCTAAAGTTTTAAAAACATATGTTTTTAAAAAAATGTTTTCACATGCAACTGGGAAATAAGAAATATAGGAAATGGGGTATAGAAGTCTGTCCTGCCCTACAGGAAAATAGAAGGGGAAGGTGATAAGAGAAGGGGAGAGAGATAGAAGAGAGGACAGAGTAGGGGAAGGGATATTCAGAATGCATGCCATCTTGGAGTGGGGGGAGGGGTGAGATGGGGTGAAAATTTGGAACTCAAAAACTTGTGGAAGTGAATGTTGAAAACTAAAAATAAACATTTATATTAAAAAAAATACACAACCCCCCCCCCCAAAAAAACAAGTTACCCCTGACTCTTGTTATGTGTGGTCCACCTTCCTTTTCAGTCTTTCATCTCTTTGAAGTCATCTTCCTTTACACTGTTTCTTTCATACACTTGTTAGTTGGTAATGCATTTTATCCTATTCACACTTACCATGGGCCTCTCCACTGCCTTTTCAGTTACCCACTGGTTTAATTCTTCAGAGACTGTGGTGTTCTATTACTCTTCTCATAGCTACACAGCATCCCTGGAAGAATATTGATGCTAAAAATATGGCCTTTGTTCCAGGGGAAAATGCAGAATCATTAAAAATACTGCACAATTTTCACGATGTAACCTAGACTTCCTACTAGCCTCCCTGTATGATTCTGGACCCGTTTACAACGTACTTCCAATATAGATGTTCTGATGGATTAGCATTATGGGTTTTCTATCCAACTACATATTTTAGTCTGGACAATAGGCATCTTCATCCATTTGGTTTTTCTTATGTGGATAGGTCATAGATCACTCTTTAGGGAACCATCTTCAAAGTGATAAGAGTCAGA